TTTTGGATTATTTATGCGCAAATTGCACATAAGCATTGCTTCACAGTTTTATGAACACCAATGGTAAAAATTTAAAATATACAGTGGGGGGAAATAAATATTCGTACACTTGAAAAATCGTATTTTAATGTATGTAAGTACACAAACTTAACAGGAAAAGTGATTTTTCAGCCTGGCATCTCGATGTCGTTTCATTAGGAGTGGGGTCTTTCTTGGGGTGCGTGATTTTAATTCGTTTTTGTGAAGTTCATTGCTTATTGCTCGTTTGGTTACTTGAATTCCTGAGGCACTCAGGTGACTTTGCAACTCTCCTCGAGTAATCTGTGGATTTTCTTGGATTTTTCGTCCCAATAATCTAGCAGATCGTGCAGAAATCTTCCTAGGAGCACCTGATCATCTTTGGTTTTCAACGCTGTCACGGGTCTTGAAGCGTCCAATGAACAAAGCAACTGTACTGAAAGGAACATTCAAGTGGCTAGCAATCTTCCTATAACTTTCTCCTTCCTTCCAATGCGATAGAATTAGTTGTTTTGGGGAACTTATTAGTTCTTTACCTCTAGCCATTTTTGAGACCTTCTTGTACTACGGGCAGTTGCAGAATGATCTGGTAGTTGCAAAATACGTTAACTATGGTTACTGATTACATTACTGGAATGTGCTACATGTTTCTAGTACATTCTGGAATGTTCTGGTGTGAAATATTAGTCTAAAGTTGTTTTGTACGAATACTTTTTTGACCCGAAGAAGTTAACATGTTGCATTAATTTTTGTTGCATTGAGATTTAATTTCTATTGATGCTATTTTTGAGTACAATGCGCCTCTATACATAATATAAATCACTTCTCCTGTTCAGTTTGTGTACTTACATACATTAAAATACCATTTTTCAAGTGTACGAATATTCATTTCCCCCCACTGTAACTCAGTTTACAAATAAGTGTACATTTAAAAAAATTCATTTTTACATAGCTCCAACATTTGTAGGTTCTGCTCTGTGAAGACAACAATGCAAGTCTGGGACTGACAGTGCAGGCATCAAGAACCAGGCATGGTGCTAGCTCAAAATGTACTGCCGCCAACATGACCCATTGTTCAACACTTCACATTCAAAGATCAGATTTAGAAGTTGTACTTGTTCTTTCCTTCCAAGTAGGTAGATGCTCTTGTTTGCCATAGCAGAGACATTCTTTCCTTTCATATCTGCTCTACTCAGGATTTTGCATTCAAATTGATAGCTAATTGAGAATAAACTCTGCGTTGAGGAATTTTTTGCAGTTGTTATATGAATTCAACACTGTATTTTATAACAAACTTGCAGAATGAAGTTTGATAGCACATTTTCCCTGCATAAGTTTACGAAATCGAAAGTGATCTTTACCAAATTAAAAATAAAACTATTCCCTTGCAATGTTCTATTGCGAGCATGGCCAGGTATTTCTGTTTCTGCTTTAATTTTAATGAATGTGCTAAATGATAACTTTTTGCACTTCTTCCCGCATAAGATATTCAAATCTGAACCAATCTTAACCTAAGTAAAGACGTATCTATTTTCTGACAATGCGCTACTGCAAGCACTGTAAGAATTCATATTTTTATTAGCATGCTAGATTTTTTGGTCAAACTTGGCATGTATAATTATTTCAAATCAAAACCAATTATGACCTAATTAATAATGAAGATGTTTATTTACAATATATTCCAAAAAGCGTTGTAAGAATTTACATTTTATTTTAATTTTGTGTTAGCTTCATTTTGCTTATATATACCTACACCTCTTAGACACATTATGGCCTGACACGCAGCAGATCTACAAGTTTCAGTCAACCTTAAATATCTCCCAAGTTGGAGAATGCATCTTAATGAAACTTTGCTCACATGTTCAATAGGAACTAACAGTGAAGTTTATGTCAACTGTGATTTTTTTCACTTTTACCTTCTTTTCATACATTATACAAAAAAGCCTGTGCATATGGATTGGATATATATTAGGATCACTGCAAATTTAGGACTGTATAACTTGCAAAGGAAAACAAAATTGAAAAAATGACTATGGCCTAAACATCACCATTAGGTCTTACTGAATGCATGTGCAAATTTTCATCAAGCTGTGTTGATCAATTAAAGAGATATTTTAAGCTCACTGAAACTTGAAGACTGGCGGTGAAAGTGTTCAGGAGGTTATATATACATATATATTGTCCTAAGAGCTTGCAGTAGTGTATTTTGAATAAATAGCTTCATTGTTGAAAATTTTAAGCATGGTTTCAATTATAAAAACTTATGCGCATGACACTTGCTAAAAATTAGCATTTAGCATGCTAGTTGAAATCTGAATGAATTCTGCCAGCACTTGCAGAAAAGTATTGTCTATAAATAGCTTGGTCAAGATTGATTCGACTAACTTATGCTTATTAGACGTGCCATGAAAATTTGCTTAGAAAATTCAGCTCAAAATTGTCAATGCCACCAGTCAGCAAAAGTGTGTGGGTCATCCAATTAGCATGGCACTGTGTAGCCATATCAGCACCACTTGAGCACAATTTTTTCCTTAATTTGTAACCAATGTTTTATGCGTCAATGGTCCAGACTCAAGGAAGATTTGCCTAATGTCATATGCCTTTATTTGCTGCCATAGTTATGGTGAATCTAATTTTGAATTTGACTAAATTAAAATAAATAAAATGCTGGGAAATCTGCGTTTTCTAGGAGAGGCTGGTTCCGGCAGTAGAATGCTAAAGGTCAAGAATAGAGGGGTGCTGTTCTTCAAAATTAAGCGTCGTAATGAATGCCACCACAATGCTGGTGCTGTGACCTTATTCTTTGGGACGAGACAGGAATTAAATTAGTTTTAGAATGCCATGAAGATTTAGAATAGTGTGTTGTATTTAGAGTCCTATAAGTAGATAAGCAAAGTATCATGGATACCAGCATTATCAAACATAAGGTATTTGTTTAAATTTTGAGTAGATGTGGAAATTAAAAAGTAACTGATTCTAATAAGTCTCTAGTTTGTCACTATGCTTCTTTGCCACTAGCGTAAGCCTATTTCCCAAGCCGTTGAAAGCCAGTCTCAACGGCATGGCGGCACTGCTAACTCAAGACGGCATGGTGGAATTCCAGGATAAGGACGTCACTCCACCGTGACCACCGTAGCTCTCCAGACATGAGGGCAGGGAGGAGGGGGTAGGGTGTAATTTGAAGCCAGCACAAGACTGATAAACATGTAGAAAATGACAGTGGTTTTGGTGCTGAAGTGCTGTAGTGCAGTCGGCCAGGTCATCCGCTCCTTTTCCGTGGCATGTACTCTAATTTTGGTGAGTGCGCTGCTATATCCCATAGGTAGATGGTCATTAAGAATGCATTTAAAATTCCACTATGCATGGCAGCAAGGGCATGCACTCGTATTATGAGTAAACTCTAATTTTGCCCTAGAAATAGCAGTTAGAACATTTTTCCCTAATTCACATGCAATGCATCTCATGCTGATGCATATGAAAAAAACATGAAAAAACATGGTTTTACTAGAGTGTGACATACCAGGTTTAATAGTGTGGCACAAGAGTAATGTAATAGTATCTCAAGGGTCAGTCATTGAGCCTTCACAGTTTGAGCCTTAGTAGGTTTATCCAGTCATTAGTTGGTAGGTTTTTTTGGTCATTTGGTAACTTAACAATTAAAATACTAGTCATTAATAAGTAGATAACCTTTAGTTATTTGATTAACTGTGGACTTCATGGCATCCTCAGGAACAGGAAATTTTAAGAGAGTATCAAGATTCAGATGCAGTAACTGAAAAATATAATAGGTCTATTTTGTTTACTGGATTCTATTTTACAATAGGAGCTTCTTCCCAAGGCATGTGGATGCGCATTCTTTCAACTATGCTCACTAATTTAATGCAGCCTATGAGTGAGCTACCTGACATGCACTACTGCTTAAAACTTCATATCCAAGCTAGAGCTTGATTATGAAGTGCATTACACTTATAAGTTGATGTTTGAAATATAACATATAATGCACACAATTTCCACAATGCCATCAGCTATGACACTATCTAATTAGACAAGTCTTGAAATAGTTATCAATCAAGTAGATGGTCTAGCAAATTATGCATCTTGTATGTAAAAAAAAACATTCATCACCCAGACAAGGCTGAATTTCTGAAATAGCTAATGCATCAGTGACATAAACATAAAAAAATTCAAAATCTAATAACAAGAGACATCTACTAAGAAAATGATAGTAAGATAGACTAGAACAGAAAAGCTGTAGGTAGACTGGAACAGAAATGAAGAAATATTCGTCTATAGCTTTCATATATCCCCAACACAAGCTTATTCCACTATGATTTTTTGGCATTATCAACCGCAACTGACAATAAAATAAAAAATATCCATGCAAAACATTTAAATATATTTATTTTGCAATTGTTGTAATATAAAAAATTTCTGAATTGGCAAAAAAAAAAAATCTGTGCAAATAACAGAATTGGCCAAAAAATAAAAAAAATCTGTGTGCAAGTGCAAGGCAAGTCCCTATAATAAGTTACTGCTGCTGGCACTAGGATCTTTTCTATGCACAAGTAGGCAAGAGAGGCATGTTGTCTGATTCCTTCCCTAACTTCAATCTCTTGCCAAGCCAGCCTCCCTGCAACACTTGGTCTTACCCCAGTAGGCATCAGCGATAGAGCTTCCTCTGTCCTCTCCCGCCAGCTGTGAGTTGCGGTCTGTTACTTGTTTTCTGGCCCCTCAGAAGAATTTGGCAAAGGAAATTTGCAAATAACTTTGTCAAGAGTATGGAGAAGTGTGTATGAGCTCTAGGATGGTGCACAGATGGGTCAAATTTTCCTACAAAAATAATTTTGTGAGAAAAATTTTTTTTGTTAGTTTTCATAGGTAATGATTTTGGGATTCAAATATGTGTTATTATTTCTTGCTTTCTGATTTACTGATTCCTAATCATTATTTAATTAAATAATAAAGTTCCAATTGACATTTGCAAATGTAGATTAATTTATTTCAGATTTAAGAGAAAGAATGACAATTGTTCACTATGGCTTGCTACAACCCCGAAGATCTTAGTCCCGATGAGCTCTCCTGTCCTATTTGCTTTGAAGAGTTTGTTATTGATGCCGCGTAAGTGTCACATCCATATATACATGAATTATTAATATTAAATATTATGCAATATTGATTTGTGTAACTTCATTAGTGCAACATTATAATCAAAATTATTAAATTGTGCATGTCTTCCAGTGAAAGATTTTAACCATTTGTGTATAGAATGCTGTTTGAAATTTAATTTCCTGTGGGGCTAAATTCCTTGAAAACGTATATTAAAAATGAATTACTTAAATTTAATGCAAAATAGAAGTTATTTAGTAGAGCACAAGTGAAATGAGGTCCAGGATTTTTAACAATATATACTTGTTTGCTTGAGATATTGTGGTAGAAATCTTTATTTACAGAGATGTTGATGTAGATGTAGCAAGACACTCACATAATTTGACAGTGCGAGAGAATATTAAATGAAAATTTGCTTCGAAAATTCTCTTGTAAATCAACTTTCCCCCTTTCTGATATGGTTGAATGCTTTTTTTTTTACAGATGATTTTGCTACTTCTACAGTGAATTGCTTTTATTTTAGCACAGTTGCTCTCACCTAGTTTTATTTACCAGTATAACCAGTCAGATACTAATTGCATTGTAATGTGCAGATCTGAACGAACCCCCAAGCTCCTGTTATGCCTACACACGTTCTGCCTTGGCTGTATAAGAAACTTAGTCAAGTCGAATAAGACCATTCAGTGCTCTATCTGCAGGACAGAACACAAGGATGTATCTCCGGGAGAGCTCTTTGATAACTATGTTATTGTGGACTATATCAAGTAAGTCAATAGTAGGATATTGGATTCAGATGAATTTTTGTGATCTAATATTGCACCATTTGAACAATGTACATTCAATATTCAAAAGGTTCATTAAATATTGATATGAAGTGGCCACTCTTGATTATTTTTGTAACCAATTCCATTATAGTTGACTTGAATTTTTGAAAATTTTATCATGATAAATTATATTATCAAAAATGTATGCCGAAAAATGCTTGTCACTTAACTCTCATTTCCTTCTTAGGAAGCAGCAAGAGGAAAGTGATGCCTTGCTGGCTCGACTTCACTCTCGCACTTTCAATCAAGAGCCGGTAGCTGATTATGAGTATCAGCAAAGGTTGGTCTTTTTTTTTTAATATTGCACCCACTTGTGATCTGAAATGTACAGTATGATAGCCTGCATTTAAATAGTGGAGTTGAACAGGTGCTAGATTTTTATTTTCTATGAACTTTTAATTTTCAATGATAGTTCTTGGTATTATATAGGTACTTTTTAAGAACATAATGTTAAGTTACATTATTCATTCATGGAAATTTTTCATGAATCTGAATTATTAATGTGCATGAAATGTTATTGAATTTTCAGAGAATACCAAGTTGAGCAAGATGCTGCCTATGCTCGCACTATTCAGAGTATGTATGATGAGCAAGAGAGGTTAGTGTAATTTACAATCTCCTTCAGGTTACAAGAGATATTTTTGCTATAGCTATATATTCCATGAATATATTTTTGCCTATCTCAGAAATTGCCTATTTGTATTAGTGTTGCCGCCAAATGAAAACTTCTGTGGGCTGCAAACATTTGCCAACTTTTATTTGTGCAGAGTGGACCGCACAGCTGTTGTGATACCAGACTCCAATGCAAAGCAGTTACCTGCACTGCAGCCTGCGTCCTGTGGGGGCTACACAAAGCCTACTTCAAGCACTCATGTAGCACCTGAAACAATTGCGACGACCTCTCAGGCAACAGTGGAGACTAGAAGACAGACTCCTGCACCAGACAGCGCTTCTAGAAGCGTCACTCCTGATGCCAGTGCCTCCTCAAGCTCCACTTCGTGCGGCTCTACCAGCAGCACCACCACTACATCTTCTGACACCACTTCATCAGATGACCAACGAAGTTCGAGCGCCGCCAGTGTCAGCAGTCATCTAGAGGATGAGTTTGTTGATTCTGTCGAGATTGTGGAGATGAATAATGACAGGATAGATTTAGAAGTGGTTGGAAGTGCCGAAGATGATGCATCTGGTACTGCAGGAATGATGATTCTATCGCCAACTCTCACCAACTATTCAGGCTTCTCAACTGGTGGCCGTTTGGGAGAAGATGACAACCCCGTCATAGAAGAGCTGGGGAGCGAGTTGGGAGAAGACAGCGAAGACGCTGCAAGTGCCATGGGAGAGGCCATGGAGGAGAGTGATGTGGTTAGCAATATGGATGCACTCGAGACCTTCAATTCATCCTTAACAATTGACGGTGACGAACAGGAAAATTCCGACCCTGATATGCAGGTTATTGGGTCGAATGAGGGCAGCCATCGAGACCCAGTTGTAGGTGAGGATGAACTTTTTGACAATTTTGATGCACTAGAATCCAATGATATTAATACTTCAGATGAGACTGACAATGTCAGGCTCGTGAGTCATGGCAATGTCAGCAGTGAATCTGACAACAGCGATCTTGAGGACAGCTGCGTTGATCTGGCTGCTGCCGTTGAAACTACTGGACAGGAGTCACATAATACTTGTCCAGGTTTAGTAGATTTTGATGACTCTGTCAATACTACAATCACCATCAACGACAGTGACGAGACTGACGCGCACTCCGTTGTGCTGCGCAACGAGTACAACGGAGTCCTCACACGCAGCGCTGCCGCCAAGTTACGCCGTGAGGAAACCAACATGAGCGCCTGAAATGAAGTGGGTTATCTCTCACTCAACTGAGTTGTTGCTTTAATGAGAAACATCACTCTTTCATGGTGCTCTCGTCGTTAAGCGAGAGTCGTTTCACACACTTGGTTTCTTAGTAACTTCTGCTCACTCCTAATTATTGGCCTGGTTGCATTTTTTTGGTCAGATTTTGTTAAATCGAGCAGGTTTTTGTACTTTCATATCCCAGGTTCCCCTGAATGGCTATGTTGTGAGCGAAAAGGACGAGGATTAAAAATGTTTTTTTTTTATTTTGGATCAGAATGATTTATAAGGTTCATCGATGAGCTTCATTTTGAGAGTCAATATTTATTCCTAAGCGTTTGTTCCCCACATTGCCAACTTTCTTTGTCAGCTAGAAGTTTCTGCCACGCGCTACTCAAGCCCTCACTCTCATTGTGAAACTTTATTTCTGGTCAACGAGCTTTTTCAAAGCTAGTACGGCATTTTTTTTATCTCATTTCAACCCAGGAGTGAGTTAAGATGTCCAAGGATCCTGAGCATTTGATATTCATAGTTGTGTATATCTCAACTAGTATAAGTTTCATTTCAAATCACGTCATTTCGTCATGATTATTTCATGAATTTGCGAACAACATCTGTTGCTTGTTGCCTAGAATTACGTGAAGTATATACATTGATAGCGTTCACTGTAACGACCATGTATCATTTGCGGTGTACGACTTTTTTTGTATTATTTTATTTTATTACTTCTTTTTATAATCTTCCTACGTATTGCTTTTCACTACTTACTCCTTCAGCTGTTTTGTGTGCATTTCTTGGCCTCTGTGTTTTGCTGAATATTCTGCTCTTTGAATTGATCCTCCGCAATATCTACGAGATTTTATGCTGCACTTCTTGTAGCTTTGCTAAAACCTAAATTTTCTCGGCACTCAAGATGGAATGAAAGTTTTTTTCCAAAGAAAAAACGTTTCTTGACTCAAAATTGAACCATAATTGAGAGCAGGCAAACTTGAATGTGTAACAATGCTCTTGACTTTGCAGTTACAAGACAGGGTCCACGATAGTCAGATATTGAAAATCTGCGACAGTAAGCATGTCGAAACGATGTTGAAATTGTATGCTGAAGACTCCATCTCGTTTTGCCTGTGATTGCCAAAAGCCATACCGCTGTCTTTCTCTTTTCCTTGTGTATTTATGTCTTCTATATAGAGGTCTTTCCAGCAAAATTTACCTCGATTCTGTTACTCGTCAACTTAATGAACTTAGTTGAAATAGACGCATTGTAGAGCAATTCAGTCATGTGATCATTATTTCCTTATCATCTGAAGTAACGGTACGTTTCTAGAGCTTGTACCTGAATTAGCTGCTTCCTGTCTCACTTATGTATTTTAGATGACAACTCTCGTTTATGTCCTCTGTAATCATCAGTTTTTGTGTTGTTTTACCAAGCCAAGGTAGAATTCATCAGATATTCTGATGGCTGTAAACCTTTGGGTTGTTTTACCAAGCCAAGGTAGAATTCATCAGATATTCTGATGGCTGTAAACCTCTGAATTCTGTCATTGCAATGGTATAACTTATGTATCGTGTCTTGAGAGATCACTTTGACGAAACTTCTTACTCTTGAAAATTTAGGTGTTTTTAAAATGAATGCTTTAATAGCCAAGCGAGAAATTGATTTGATGGGATTAAAACGCATTTCATTGTCTTGGACGGCTTAAAGTCTCATAAAAAATGTACCGCCGAGGTGTTTGAGGAAAATGAGTAATCTTCTGTGTTCGTTTGTGTTTTAGAAGAAAGTATTCATTAGTTCCCTTCTTGCTATTATAATTAAGATGTTTAATGAATAGATCATTCAATAGTTTCGCATGTTAGAAACTGTTCTATTACTACGCTTGTAGAAATCCCGTGAGGTTATCAGGAGCTCTATGTTGGTGATTTCAGCCTCAATGTTTTTGACAGATGGTAGTAATTAGTAAACAGTGAAGCAATGAACTGACGATCTCGAAGTACGGTTTTCCATTGCCAGTGGCTAGGTATTCGCAAATCGTTGCAGTGGCTGAAACACATGGATCAATCATCACCCAGATTGAAAATACTCTTCTCTTTTCTGCTCGATATGCTTCAATTTATAAACATGAAAAATATTTTGGCCACGCAGCTAGAATCCTCGCGTTGAGATTCACAACGAAAGCCGTTTTTTGCTGTAAATTAAATTAAAAATAAGTCAGAATTTATTTTTGAGGTTCTTGCTCTGACTAATTACTCGTCTTCATTTGATGAATAAAGAATATCTTCCTCTAATACTGTAGTTGATGCTGGTGTTGCGTCTGATTTTCTGAGATAATATTATTTATCATGATATTAATTGGTTCATGATTTAAACCATCTCTAATGCTTGTGTAAAGCCCAACCTTGCGCTGCTGGTCTCCTGCACTCAGCTGAGAAACATTCGATTTGATCCTCTTTCATTATACTATAGCCCTGAAACTTCTTCCTTGTTATAATGTGGAAGTTTCGTCACGACCTGAGAAGCCAGCGCCCCAGGCACCACTCGCTCCCATGGTCTGTATTATTTGTACATACGAGTGACATGTTGCGCAAATATTTTAAGGTTCATGCGTGATATCCCCTGCCATTTAATAGGCCCCACTTAGACTAAGAAACTACGTTTCTGTGATGTTCCTCAGCAGCTGCGAGGCTTTGTTCCTTCATGCCATATAGAAATTTGAGATGCTTCGTGCTTTCCTTAGTCTTACTGAAATTGTTACCTCAGTAGAGATTTATACTGTAAAACATCGGAGTTGTTCCAAAATTATCCATGGATAAGGTCATAAACTTTCCCATCGCAGATTACACTTTGAGACGGACACCTAGCGTGCGACTGTCGTCAAGATTCAGCGTCATGTTGACCTTACAGGACTTACGTTACTAATTCAGTATTATGATTTCAACTTCGTTTATTATAGCTTGCTCGTGAAATCAGCTATAGGCTTACTTCAAACCGCTAATATCGCATCCTGGGAAAATCCTTGTCTGTGAATACAAAATTTCTACTGTTAAAGAGCATATTGATGTTCCGTTATGTGTCCTTTGTATCAACTTACTTCTCAGCTTTCCAATTTTTGCTTCGAGGTGCATCGAGACCAGCAGGTACTTTCATGCTAGATCTACTTACTCCTACTCGTGCTTAGATGATGAAGTGTTAATCTTGGTCCATTACCGCCAGATGGTACCATGCTGTCATTTCTGCCGTGTCCAGTTGCACGATATGACGAGACGCACGACGTTTTTTTATCTATAGATGCTGAGAACTGGATTCTTTTTACTTTTTATGCAGATGGTGATGTGGAAATCATTTTTTCGCAATAAAAACACCGAACGTTTATAAATGTTATTTGCCTTGTTCGTCGAGTGTTATAAAATAGAATGCAGTGATCCTAAATGGTGTAGTGATGCATTGTGGTATATTGTCAGGGAACTAAATAATTATCAATAACACGTTAATCAATTATTTTATAAGGCAAAGAAGTCCTAGACAATGATTACCTGGGGAAAAGCCCAGCGTTGTAAACTTAGCCTAGCTCAGCGTAAGCATAACCATGTCAGATGATACGCAAACAGTCTCTGGGACGTGCGCCTTTCTGTCTGCCCACGGATAGAAATAAAATCGCCGGATAATATCTCGACGATTGTACTTTAAGATCAATAATCAACAGAGTGACATTCGAGAAACAAAGAAATTCAGTGGTGGGCACAGTTCCGCTAACCGCTAATTAGCGAAGCTAACTTTTTCCTTATCGAATTAGCTGTTCAGCTAACTTTGAAAACCTTTAGCGGACCAATTAGCTTCCGCTAAATTTAGCTCCGCTAACTGGTAGTCCGCTAAAAATGTTTTAAAATCTCTGATTTAATGCTAAGTATCGTAAGCCATGTGCCACGCCCACACCTATACTGCAGTCCTCTGGTGGACGCAATGCTGGCAGGCATTATGACAAGGTTTGGGTCCCTCCTAGAAGACAAGGAGTGCCAGCTGGCAGCGGCCTTCCACCCTAAGTTTCGCCTGTTCTGGCTGGAAAAGCATAATCACAGCCATCCCAGCAGGGTACAGAAGGCCATGGAGACCGCCGTGGAGACAGCCCTGAGGGAGACCGTTGAGGAGGGCAGCAGCACCACCAGCAATGACGAGGATGGGGAAGATGACTTCTTCAGCAGCATTACTCAGCCCATGGAGTGCAGGAGGAGCCACGGGTCACTGAAGTCCAAGGCACAGAATTTGGTGAAGACCAGGTAGTACAACACAGCCATCCCATCCAGTGCTGCAGTTGAGCGCCTGTTTTCCATAGGCAAGGACATCTTGAGTGCCATGAGAGCCACCCTGTCAGATGCCAACTTTGAGAGGCTGATGTTCATGAAGGGCAACAATCAGCACCTCGAGGAGATGAAGGCGAAGAGCAAGCCAGAGTAAATGGAGTGTGTAACCCTGGTGTAACCTTAATATTTCTTATTCGTTTAATAAACTGTATGTTGAATGTCAGCTACTGCCTAATTTCATTTGTTCATTTAATTATTTATGTTACGTACATCTTGATCATCATCTGATCTTAGCATGCTACATCTTTTTGGAAAGCTCCTTTTCAAGGCTGAAAGTTCAGCTCTCTAGGCCTGTTTTTCAGAGTTCCCCACCAAAAAAAATTAAGCGAAATCTAAATTTATATATTAAAAGTTAGCGGTTAGCGGCAAATTCCGCTACATTTTTTGGTGATTTATAGGTTTAGCGTTATCGAAGCTAACATTTCAGTTAGCGGATTAGCGGTTATCGAAGCTAACTTTTAGGTTAGCTGTGCCCAGCACTGAAGAAATTACATGTAGCAATCCTTGAATAATTAAGGGCAGTTTTTTGCCTTCGGATGGCCTGACCAACTCTTAGACCAAGCCGGTGCTATATTACAGGGTAACAGGTATCGATTTGATTATTTACAAAACACGATGCACTGGTCCATTTAATCTCACAAGGACCTATTTCTTTTATACAGAGTACTTGAGACCTTTCCAGGGCTACTTAGCACTGTCATCATTCGACTTTTTATCATCAGTACGGTGCCCGTGATGAGGAGACCGCAACGTCATCCCTTCCACTCCCAGCTTCGTTGGCTGCCTTACAATTTCAATGGGTTTGGTTTCTTCTCTGTAGTCCGCACTCTTTATAATTTTGAGTACTTCTTCATTCACTTTATACTGCAACAAAGTGACGTCATGACTGGTGTCTTGCTTTGAGTCTTGAACCTGTGTGACTGGGCGAGTCACTTTTTCCTTCTTTATTTCTTCCTTCGATGGAGGCTTGTCCAGCTCAGGCAACCCTCGCAATGTGCTAGGTAACTCCCCCGGGTTGACAAAGTAGTCGGACGTTGCTTGCAGGCGCTTTAACGTTTCCGCTTGTTTCTTGGTCGTCTCCGCCGGCATCATTAGGCGAAACGTTCCGAAGTATTTTAGCACTTGCTCTGTAAGCACATAAAAACTCAGTTTACTTTGACCTGAAGTTAAATATACGTTAAATTTGACACATTGCTACTCAAAAGATACAATGTATATTTAAAAGAAGATTGTGCATACAAGGCCAGTGGAGTGAAACCTATTCCTCAGAATTTGTGAATTTATTGACACAATAATAGCGAACCTAATTGTGACGTTAACTAAGATGAGGTGTGCCTCTAGGATACTGCCTTAGAGGTAAATTTTCGAAATCTTTGCAAACGAGCTGATTTCTCTTGTCTGATTACCAAGAAAGGGAGAGGTAGTAGAGTAGCCTTATCTTCGTCCGTAAAATTATGACAGATAACTTGCATTAGAACCTCAGAGCACGAGAAAGGAAGATCAAGTAGAGAAAAAGACCCACGAAAGCACTAAGTCAAATGGGAGGCACAAGAAGAAGACAGATTAGAAACTCACTCATGGCGCAGACATTCCTTACTATCGAGAATTTTGAACGGACGGCTTGCTTTGGAGCATCCACTTAGGTAACTAAGAAAGACATGATCATGTTTTTTCTGAAAAATCGCCCAATCCCTTCATTCCTCTGTGCTGAAATCCTGTAGCGGCCGATGTGAACAAGTAGGCATAAGATTGACAGTTCGTCAGTTACACACGATAGAGCAGAGCTAACTGCTCACTTGTGCAGAGCTAACTGCTCACCTGTGCAGAGCTAACTGCTCACCTGTGCAGAGCTAACTGCTCACCTGTGCAGAGCTAACTGCTCACCTGTGCATAGCTAACTGCTCACGTGTGCAGAGCTAACTGCTCACTTGTGCAGTCAGTTTGTAGTTCCTGGCGATGCTGGAGGCGTTGTGCTCCGATGGGTTTTCTTGATGCTTTATCAAAAACGCCATAACGTCTTTTAATTTCACCTTTCCATAAGGTACGACCTGTGATACAAAATTTCGATTGAAGAAAAAAGATCACAATGTATATATTATGGGTAATAAAACTTCCAGTTATTGCATCACTTTTTGCTCAGTTGAAAAATTGAATCAGGACCAAACTCAAAATTTATCAATATCTCTTTCAGAAGAAATTCCCTTTTTGTTCCAAAGGTGCATCAAAGCAATGGACTACGGTGACTTTAAATTGACTCCTATTTGCACAAATATCTGGAAAAATTCTAACATATTGTCTTAAAAACTGATAATTGTTATTCCTTGCTGTGTGTGTGATATAAATATGCCTGACAGGGCATGGCCATGACAGTATGTGCGGGGCTCACGTCAGGGTTGTGAAAGCTGTCATGCGGCGATCGTCCTGGCGTCCTGTTGAGTGGCAGTGGTCGCTCTGGGGCCTGGCTTGACACTGGCTTAACAAATGACATTATGATGCAATGTCATAAAAGTCAGGCATGGATCATAGTAATTATATGCAAGATAATTCTAGTACTTGATATTTAATGAGATTTCAACATGAAATGTTTGATGAATGATCTACACACCTGAAAAGTTTTTTTAGAACAATTTTTAAACTTTAGGCACAGTAACTAGTTTATATTTCATGATAAATATTTATGCTGACACAATGAAATATTCATAAAAACATAAATAAGAATTAATGAGATTACTTAACAGGTACTATTCAACATGAATCACAATGAGATAACATTCTTGGTAAAAGAAGCACAGCTTAAAAATTAAGCATGATAAATCCCTCCTTTCCTACCTTAAAAAATTAGGCTACTGAAATTGAGTCTCCTGAACAATATGCTGCTAACTAGAAATATGAAAGTCAAAAATGTAAATTTTGCATAGACCTGGTATATAGTAATATATATGTTAATAATTATTATTATTGCACATGCACAATTTCTGTGCAATGCAATGCATTTGGGCCAACATTAGCAAGGCTTTGTAAAAAAGGCAGTTGATGTATATATATATATATATATATATATTTAAATTCCTGAACCAATTTCACACTCAAAGTTCATTCCTCCTCTAAGGTCACACAAAAATTTACCTGGACTGGGATGACATCCTGTGAAGTAACGTAAACTTTCTGCAGACGGCTTGCCAGTCTTGGGTCTGGATTATTTAGCTGGTTCCTCATTTCCTCATCTAAGCCTGTTGGGAATTAATAATTCAATTCATATTTATTTAAGAAGAAATTGATATTCCTCAGCAATATATGAGATAATATAATACCATTTCTATATGAAACATATAACAAGCTAGTTAATGAAATTCAAGGAATATATAGGAAACGTACTCTGTATTGATGTTTCAATGAGGTTGCTTGTGGAAGGATGGCGTGGAGAGGGAATGTCCTTATTGCGATCAACAGCTTGTAGTGCTCTATCCTGAAGATTGTATTCTCTAATGGGACGAGTTAAGCGATATCGTAGTCGACTAACAATGGTGCCCATTTTGTACAAAACTTACCAGCTTAGAATAAACAGATGAGATGAATATACTGACAAAATCTGTAAGTTATGTTAGTAAGAAAGTATGAAATATGTTATAGATATATACAGATAATGATATAAACTATTATGACCTACCATCACAAATTCAGGAAGTTATCACAGCACTTAACTTGAACAATATAAATATTATAATATATAATGCTGGTCAGATGAACTCAGCCTCTCAGGTACACACTTTGTTCTAACATATTCAGTTAGCCTATTGCAAAATGCAAACTGCAGAGGGCAAAAATGAATAATGCTTAGGTATAGATATTACAGAATTGCAATACAAGATATAATACGGTAGGTATTACACTATTACTTTAGATTAAGTGCATCCAAAAATAAGGGTGTTTTTTTAAATTATGTTTTTTGGGGTGTAGATTAAGAATCTGAAATCCGTTTTAGGTGGTACCAATTTTTTCTGATTTTTTATATATTTTCTATAGAAAACGACAATATAGGACCCGTGGCGAACTGGGGGTTTTAGGGGGCGGGATACGTCTGAGGCTCTAATTCGTCAAAAAAAATTGAGGTTAGGTTAGAATGTAGGCTGCTATTCTACACCACCTAATGGCACCCAGGAGGTTGCAGCTTAGGAGCGTTAAAAAATGGGAAAAAATTGGTTTTCCGATGCCGACCGCAAAAAAACAGATTTCAGATTCTTAATCTACACCCCAAAAAACATATAGGCCTAATTAAAAAAAAACTTTTTTGGGGTGCACTTAATCTAAACTCTAAAGTATTACCTATAATGCAATTATTGCAATATTATTTAGCATGAAAGAAAATATCATCTTTGCTGGAAAAATCAATATCTTGGACTGTCGGGACTGAGTCATATGAAAAAAAAACTTCTTGTGGTCTAACAGTTCTGCAGACTCACTACAATCCAGCATTGTGAAAATCATCTACATTAAGTGTAATAAGTGATTAATGTGGGTTATGTGGCACAGTGGCCGTGCCGCACAGTGGCAGCCGCCAGCCGGCAGGCCGCCCTGCCACATCTTTCTCTATTCTTTTCATCTACAAATTAGGGCACAAAAATAAATTGTTGCTTGTCCGGAGTAAGCAAACAAAAGCCGATTGAATAGTCTGACATCTGAGAACGAAATAGCCAATGACAGTCCTGAGTCCGCTCAACAGCACCGTCCTGAACAGCATCCTTCATGTTTCTAGTTCTACGGTAGAATTTCCCCGTGCGATCAGTCGGATCAGAGAGATTGAGCCGGGAGGCGGGAGCGCAGCCGTACACCACAAATTTTGTACACCAATAAGCCCTGAATCGAACGCCTTGGATATCTCCGGACATCCATCAATCAGCCGTGAATGGAACCTTCTATCCGTAACCGATCCTTGACATCCTTCTGCTTTGAATATTTTGAGCTCTACATCCCCAGACGCGAGGTCGAATAGCCGTCCACCACTGAACGTTGCGTTTCTCCTGAGGGCTGATTGGTCTAATTCAATTGATTCGTTCTGTCTGGTGGTTTTCGGCTGCCTATATGATTTTCCAGAAGTGTTGAAGGCTACGTTCCGGAGGGCAGGAGTCATGATAGTCCATTACATCCAGGGCAGTGGTGGTCTTCGGCAGGCGACCCGATTGAGCCGGTACTGACTAAAATTCGGACTCGATGAAATGCGTAAGCATGCCAATTTCAATGCTTTTTTTTAGCAAAACACTTGCTGGACCAGTGGACCACATGCACAACTTGTATGTGCATGCTCTGTCTCAAACCATAGCCAATCAGATGTACGTCGGAATAAATCAATAGGCCCAAATGCAAAACAAGTGACCAATTCAATCGATCAATAAAGTATGTGTTTGTTGGGAAAAGAAATTATCTTTCATCAAACTTCAGCAAAATGACCTTTTAATTAGTTAGTCTACTGTTTTTCACTTGTGTTACAAAATGAATTTACTTCTGTTATTTTTCAGAGAGAGGACCTAAGGATCGAGTTCGAGTACCGGATTTAATCCGAAATTGCGAAGTGCATCTGCCGTTCAGCCGTTATTCAATTTCTTCAGTTTATTTGGTTAGCTATGTTACTTCTACCATTATCATAATCTGCCGTAGATTAATTAGATTATGCTAGCCTATTCTACTGGCACTACTGCTATACGTAGTTCAATCGTGAAATAATTGCTTCTCGTTTTACAAAACTAAGTTTTTTCTATAAATCTTCATTCATAATGGGCTAGGTACCTAAAGTTTTTTTAAAGCCATTGCCCATCAGCAAATCACTCAAAGTTGGTGCCTGATTTCAAATCAGGCACCAACTTTGAAGTTTGAACTAATATCATAATATGTAAATAATGTAAATGTAATAATATCATTAATTAATTATTTTCATATACCCACTGTCCAACAGTCCAAGTGTGACGGTTGGCCAGTTGGCCTGAGCCCTGAGTGAGAGCGAGACCATATTTATATGTCAATAACCGACAATAACGTGCGTGCCTTCTGCAATCTGCAGACTGTGCCTTCACAGCCTAACTTGCGTATGGCTTAAGGACACCGGCTACCCTAAAATTTTCAATTTTGGCGTTTTCCGGTTTTTGTGCTCATCTTAAAGCTTACTTTTTGACGCATCCAACGGTACCAGAATCATCCCTCTATTAGGTATGTGCACAAAGTACGCGGCACAAATGTAAACAATGCAGGCAAAATGGCGGACAGCCACTTTACGCATCGGCGCGCGTAAGGTATTTAATTTTGAAAGTTCCAGCCAAATGTTAGCTTAATTTGATTGACTTGTGTTTGGAAACAAATTAAAAAAACTTGAACTATGACGACACCATTTTTTTTTTTTTTTGAGAAATGTCTATCAAGTACCTGCTTAGCTGGGGTGTGCAAGGGGTAACATTTGTGATAGAAATAAACATTGATATTGTATTTTGAAATTAATGAAAGATAATTTGAAATCAAGATTATAGTTTTTAGAGCATGCTATCAAAATTTCAGAGCTCTGCAGCCATTCTGACAGTTTTTCTACCATGTCCTGTTGCGCAGTTTACGTTCAGTTCAGTCATGAGCCATGGTCAGGAAGATGTGCCAGGTGTGCGGGAATTTATTTTGTCATTTTAACGACCTGTGCGGTGCGCCGTAATATGCTGGTAAAAAAATGCGCCATGCGCCGTACTTTAGAAAGCTAAAATAGTTCTACTATTTTAGTCGACAATATACGCGAGTATATTGACTACGCGAGTCGAACTGACAATAATAAAATGTAAGACATGTCCGGGTTACTTCTGACTTTTCCGCTTGTCCGCCTTGTTGGATACGGAACGTACGGTAATCGTAAACTGCGGCTATTATACATACGAAATGTAAACAGACGATGTTCAGTGTTGCCATATGACTTTGGAGAAAATTTCTTCTAAAATGAAGTTCTATATTTCTCATTCACCAAATTTCCGGGATTGCGCAAACACGTGCGCGAAGAGAATCAATTTTCATTACATTGCGCCAACTGAGCACAGCAATAGCTTAAAAAAAGTGAAAATGCGCGGGAAAATTCACCGAAAACATACATCAGCCTGAGTGTGGGTCATGAGCCAGTGAGGTACGCTGGTCCTGAACTACTGCCGACTGCCGAGACTGAGACATGAGAGGGGACATGAGATGATGCATGAGACAAGCTACGAGACGAGACATGAGATGAGATGTGAGATGAGACGCGAGACAAGATGTGAGACATAGTGGCAAACCAGTGATTTTTTAGAATCAGTTCATTTTTAATTTCCTCATTTACTCAAAATTTTAACAGATTTCTTATGTATGATAATTCTGGTATCCAAGATACTTTACTGGTCTACTTATAGGACTCAAAAATGAACTTGAGGAAGAGTCTAAAAAACTCTCTGCTTTGCCACTATGATGTGAGATGAGACGCGAGACAAGACATGAGATTGGACATGAGACGAGAAGATGAGACATGAGATGAGACGTGAGATTGGACATGATACGAGGCATGAGACGAGATGTGAGATGAGATGCAAGACGAGACATGAGATAAGGCATGAGACGAGGAGATAAGCATGAGATGAGACGTGAGACAAGAAATGAGATTGAACATGAGATGAGACACGAGACGAGGCACGAGACAAAACACGAGATGAGACACGAGACGAGATGAGATGAGGCACGAGACAAGATGAGACGAAGTGCAAGGCAAGATGAGACAAGGCACAAGACGAGATGAGACAAGGCACAAGACGAGATGAGACAAGGCATGAGACGAGATGACACAAGGCACGAGACGAAATGAGACGAGGCACAAGACGATATAAGACGAGACACGAGACAAGATGAGACGAGGCACGAGACAAGATGAGACGAGGCACAAGACGAGATGAGACGAGGCACAAGACGAGATGAGACAAGGCACAAGACGAGATGAGATGAGGCACAAGACGAGATGAGACGAGGCACGAGACAAGGCATGAGACAAGTCACGAGACAAGGCATGAGACAAGATGAGACGAGGCACAAGACAAGATGAGACGAGGCACAAGACGAGATGAGACGAGGCACGAGACAAGATGAGATGAGGGACAAGACGAGATGAGACAAGGCACAAGACGAGATGAGGCATGAGACGAGGCACAAGACGAGATGAGACAAGAAGGCACGAGACGAGATGAGATGTGACATGACGATGATGATCATATTTAATATTATTAAATATCAATATTCACTAATATTTATTATAATTAGTTAAGAATTAATATTAATAAAAATTAATAATATTATTATTTTTATTACTAGTAAATTTTATTTGCATATTCTATTTAATTTCATATTTTTAAGCTCAATTATGGTGCCAAGGCCATGAAACTGAAATTTATTCCATCCAATTCTGCCTTTAAGTTAAGTTATAGCATTCATATCTAGCAGTTGCACCCATTTCCCCCACCCACCTGCAGTCAAAGTCTCGACCAAAATGTTTTATTCTAGTTAGAATAGATAGCCTACAACATGAGCTTTCCAATGGTACTAATAACTTTGAAATTGGCTCATAGGAA